GATGATGATGATGATGATGATGATGATGATGATGATGATGATGATGACGAGGATGATGATGACGACGAGGATGATGATGAGGATGAGGACGAGGAGGAGGAGGAGGAACTTTATTGTTATATATACGTAATAATTCCTATGATTCCTATTGCAATATGCTTATGATGATTGTTAAGGCATGTTAAGGGTATATAACTATTACACTCCCTGGAACTGACATGGAAGTGGAGAACCCTTGGAAGACCATTTTCCACTACAAACAGGTGGTTTTCCACTTCCATGTTAGTTCCAGAAAGAGAGTCTGATCATGGTTAAGGTTGTAGTGATAATGTTTCACCGACTGTGACTGGCAATGGGACACACCCTAAACTGTCGATCGTGGGATGACAAAACACCTTCCTCAGGTGAAGTCCAACCGCCTTATGACGACGTGTCTTACAGTGTCGTCGAACGCGTCTCCCCTGTCTCGTTGACACCGAAGTTTGGAGAATGGGCCAAGTCACTCTGCAGCAGGTTTGGTCTCTTCTGTCCTGAGAGGAGGTTCTACAAAGCCCTGGGAGGAGGTTGTACAAAGTCAACCCAAGCCTAGCAATTGGCTGTAGTTTATGCCTTTTGTCCAGCCAAACCCTGTGCTCCGTTTTCAAGGGTGCTCTGTACCAGGGTACCTTTGCCCGACATTCAGAGCACAACACCCAAATTGTATGAGAGCAACAGTGGCCCTGCATATTCCAGCTAAGAAGACCCAGCCAAAAGGTCATGCATCCACTGGCTCGATGTTCTAAGACTCACCAAGATGCTTGGTTTCTTCTTTGGCCTTCTTCTCAAGCTCCTCAACGGCCATTCTCCGCAGGGCATTGCCAAAACAGCACAAACATGGCCAGCCATGACCCCCACTTTCTCTGGCTTCGATACATGTGCAAGATCTTGCAAGGACGTAGGCCCTACAGGAACCCTGGTTCCTTGTGGCAATCTATAACAAAGTATATATCGCAATCATGGGACTGGACATTCGAACATCACCAGCTCCGAACCATTTGCGAGACACTCCTGAGCTGCCACTCCTGTTTTTGATTGAATGGTTTCACGATGAAACCAATTGCGATCAGGTCAATAACTCAGTCAGAGACATGGAGGCCGTGCCACTCCTGTGGCATGCCTGGTGACCTTCCCGGCCTCGATGTAAGTGGATGACCGAGCGGTGTTCAGAGCGCGCCGCGGCGGTGGTGTGAAAGGAACATCGAAAACAAAGGACTTTCGGGGAAAGGCGGCGGTGTGGGAATCCTCTCGCAAGAATGTCCAGCAATCCTCTCGAGTCTCCAGGGAGAGAACGGGCCAACTAGCTGACAAGAATGGAAACCCAGCGTCCAAAGCCCACAAGGGGTCTTTAGGCCAATTTCAGGCTCAAGAAATGAGTGTAACCTGAGCTTAAACTTAAATCAGTACTATTTACTCCCACACTCCCATCTTGTACTCCCGGCTCGGCTTCGACAACTTGTTTGGCTCCTGAGCCTTCTCCTTGAGCTTCTCCAAGGCACTGTCGTACTGTGCTTTTGTCAAAATCTTCTTCTTCGCCTGCGCAAGTTAGGCCAAAACAACAACGAAGCTTGTCGTTTTCCATCTGCGGTCTTCGCTGCTCACTTTGTGCGCATGCCCAGCGAAGCGACACGCGACTTAAGGAGGACAGACCCAAGCCCAGAACCTGGTGAAGACCGATCCCACAGTGTCCAAAGAATGTTACCATGGGATAGCAAAGGGGCCAAATAAATCGATCTGAACTGACAAAAACACCCAAATTCGATCATCCGGGCCAAACACCCTATCTTGGGGCGCCATGGCCGCCATGGGGTGCTTGAACTCCAAGAGCTTCCAGCCCTGGCGTTTCGAACGGCCTCCGT